CACGGGGGCAGCAGCGGAGGGCGGCCGGCGGGACGGCAGAGCAAGGGAACCCCTCGGGGCAGCCCCGTCCTGCACCAGTGGCTTGCAGCGAGCCCCCGGGGAGCAGGAGCAGGGCAGACACCCGCCCCGCTCCTGCCGCCTCGCCTGCTGGTTCTGCTCCTCCGTACGAGCGCCAGCAGGGTGACTGCGGTGGGCACCCCCGGGGACGGGGGGCTCGTCCGGCCTGGTGCCAACGACACATGGGGCAAAGCGACCCCCCCGCTGCGGGCAGGCAGGCAGGCAGGCAGGCAGGGCTGCTCACTGCCCCCCCCCAAGCGCAGCCCCTCTCCCAGCACAGGCTGCAGGTGAGCTCGCTGCTAGCACCGACGCCGCTCGGTCCAGCGCCATGGGGAGCTGGAAGGAAGCACTGTGCATGGAGACAGAACCAGAGGGATCGAGGCCCCGATCCATGAGGCAGCAGCAAGCGCCCAGCCCCGAGCTCGTGGGTCCAAAGGCACTGGCCGTGGCTCCGGTGGCCATCAGGGGCCCTCAGCCAGCGCAGCAGGGCTGGCCGCTGCTGCTGGGCTCTGCTCAGAACCAGCAGCTCCCTCCCACTCCCTGAAAAATGACCCTGCCAGCCCACTTCTTTCCCATGGATCCCAGTGGAAGCTGGGCCAGGGAGCTCGGAGCATTGCACAGCTCGCCCCGGCCCCCTGCGCAGCTGCGAGAGCCGATGCCCCTCCAGCAGCAGGACGGGGGGCAACTTCTCCGGAGGGTTCCTCTGCGCTTGCTCAGCTCGCATCCGTGTGTGCGCGCACCCGCTTCCCCGCCGAGCCGCGAGGCTGCGGCCTGACCGCAGCTCCGGGACAGAAAGCGCTGGAGCGACCGCTTCCCCTTTTCCTGGGTCGGCTGGTGCAAACCTCTAATCCCGGAGGGAGGAATTAGAGGTTCGGCTTTCCCACGTGAAGCCATGCCTGAGCGCGCTCCTGCCACGCAGCTGCCCGCGGCGGCTGCCTGCAGACCCTCTGCTGCACAGCGGTTTGTGCCCCCAGCCTGGTGCCTGCTGGCGACTGCAAAAGGCGTTAGAGCGTTGCTGCGCCAGCCTGAGTAGCTCCCGGATCCTTTCTGAAGCGGAGAGTGGGAGGTAGGAGGAAGGGAGAAAGGGAAAGTCACAGCTTACTCCTTCCAGCCGGGATCGCCCAGATGGGTGCAACGCTGCTGTATCAACGCAGCCTGACATCCCCACGGTCCCTGCCGAAACCTGTTAGCGTGCCCCTGCAGCCGCACAAAGAGCCACACTGCTCTTGCTACCACCTACTGTAACGCCGGCCGAGGCCTCGGGAGTCGGCCACCGCGCGGCAATCCCTCCTGCCCGGCAAGGCAGGCACAGACAGGGAGGGAGGGGAGCGGCGGGGGGACCTGGCACTTGCCTCTTCCTCAGGGTCTGTGCCAGCTGGAGGCAAGAAGTACAGGATGGGAAAGGCGAATGGAGGGAAAAGGAGCAAAGAGGAGAAGCGAAAGGGTGTGAGAAGAGAGAGGGGAGGCGCTCACCGGCTCCTCGGCCCCTGCTGCCCCTGTGCTCTCTGCTCCCGGCGCAGACCCCCCACGCAGCCGAGCCCTGGGCCGTGGGGCACCATGCCCTGCGTAGCCCTGCCACGCTCAGCACCAAACCTGCCCAGCCCAGCACAGGAAGAGCCCCTAGTGCCCCTTTTACGATACCAGCACAAATAACATCGGCGTTTGGAAGCAGCAAGAGAGAGGCAAGACGAGAGAGGATGCCCTCGCTACAGAGCTGGTGCAGGAGGAGGCCTCCAGGGCAGGTGCTCGTGACTGCAGCAACAGACCACGGTCACCCAGTACGACTGTACGAGCACGAGGTGCTTGTAAAAGGCAGGGAAGATTCTCCTCAGATCACTGCCCTCCTTAATGCTAACAAGGGTATTTTTTAACAAAACCCACTGAATAAACTTGGGCCCTCGTTTAACAGCTCCATAGGAATACACGGAGGAAAGGAGTATTAAAAAACCTCGTGGATGGTTAGGATACAGCCCAAGATCTGCTGTGAGAGCCCAGCTGTGGAGACTGCCTCATCTCTTATTTTAACAAGAAGAAAATAGCCCCAGACATTGCTGGAATAGTCCTTGCCTTTCGCGCACACACAACTGAGCCCATCTGACATCCGAGCGACGGAGAGCCACATCCTCAAGGTTAGCAGCAGGCAGGGGAGAACAGGAACTGAACAATTTGGATGGTGTGAAATCCCCAGCTATTCTGAGTGAGCATCTTGGAGGCCGTCCAAGGGAGACAACTGCGACGAAACGCACCGTATGGAGCCACGGGCGCTCCCGGTTCCCCAGCGCCACCAGCAGATACCGCGGCTCCGCAGAAGGCCACTGTCACGGCTCATGGCCCACAGCTTTCACTGGGATAACTGGGGCTGGGTCACGGGCAGGCAGCTTCGGGAACAGCAGCATCAATAAAACTTGATGGGGCTGAACGGGGGAGTATTTTGGAGCCATCTTCCAAAAGGTGGACACCGATGGGACCCACACAACCCAGGGGGCTCAAGACCCCAGGCTGCTGCTAGTAAATGCAGAAAAGACGTAACTGCAATCGCAACAACTTGACTCCTTTCCTTTAAGAAAGTTAGGAGCCTCATGCTCTTCCTGAACGTTTCTTGTCCATGTCGGCGCTTAACACACCTGCAGAGGGGGAATTTCTGCTGGGGAATTTCTGCCAGGCCGCTCGTTGTGTCACCTCTCTCAAGAAAGGGTGGCAGAAGCCATGGCGTGCATGTCCTGAGCTGCCGTCCAGACAGACGCTGCGAGGGTGAGCTGGTGCCGAACACGTGCTTTCAGAGGTTTATTTCCTCCACAAATACCTGGAAAGCGTCCCCTTTCCACGAAAACAAAGCAGATGTTGGCCACATGGTTTGGCACCAGCCCTGCAGACCCACACCGAGCAAGGGGAGGCAGCGGCTGGTGCGTCCTCCTGGCCAGCGCTCGGTCCCAGCACACCCAGGAGAGGGAGCGAGGCTGCTGCAAAAGCTGCATCTTCTGAGCTGCCCCTGGCTTCATGCGGGCCCCTGCCACCGGCATGGCCTGGCCATCCCCACTGCCCACCACAGAATCACAGAATCGTTAAGGTTGGAAAAGACCTTGAAGATCATCGAGTCCAACCGTTAACCC